ATTGACCAATCAGAATCAAGTATTCCGCAGAGCCGTGTAATAATACTGTAATAGCTGACATAAGGGAAAAAATTACATTAGATTCCTGCAGGAGTTTTGTATTTCACAAAGCTCGTCAAAAACATGTCTGGGAAATATTTCACCAAAAAAACTACACTTCAATTTTTCAAACTTGTCTATTTCTGTTTTGTGTGTGCTTTTTTCCCCTGTAATTTCCTTGTATTGTGACTTTTTAAGTAATTAAGCACGTATTTTAAAGGGGACATTTGTGAAAATCATGTCAAGGTGCAAACAATTAGACTTAATTTTCATCATGCAAATTATTATTATTTTTCTTCTGATTTTGGGGTGAAATGTGACCCGGAGATTTAACCGAGCTCTTAGTGCTTAGCCTTCTGCCTCACAGTTGCCGCTCTAAGCTGATTTTCACTGTGTATGTTTGCACGAGGATGAATCTGGATGACATAATGAAGGTTTTAAGGCTTTATGACCAGCGAGATTTGAGAACACATTATATCATTACACTTACAAGGTCAAATTCACCCTGGACTTTCACCTCCAATCTGAATGCGACGACTTTTTTTGTGCAAAGAGTGTGAAAAACAATATCAAGCTCTCAAAACCCAGAATGGCAAGTGTAGCAATAATTTTTTAATGATTGTTGAGGCAAATGTTCTCTGATGGAGTCTCGGTCAAACACGCCTGACAGTCACGTTAACCACAGTAATGTAACCGAACTTTATTAAGACATTCACACTGGAGATCACATGGCACAAGAAAGATTTGTACCAAAAGATTTTTAGAGTTTGAGAAGTAATACCATTTTTTTTCTTCCATGGTATCATCCATCCTCCATGGTACTTTGATATTTACCATGGTACTAAATGATTAATATATACAAGCTACGTGATATTTACTAGTTATTTTGAATAATACTGTGGTTAAGACACAGTATATGTTCAAAAATCAAGGTATTACCATGGTGATGTCCAAAAATCCATGGTAGAAGGAAATTCCTTTCCATTTCTGCTTAAAATCTTTAACCTTCCACTATGTGAGTCTCCATCTTTCCTTTTTGTGATGGCGTGTGTGAGAACAAGAGCTCCATTAGTGTGTTTTCCATACATTATTGACACACGACTACCATTTTCCCTTCGACCAGAGGGTCAGCGCAGAGGAACAACACAGCACAGACTTTATTTCACTTGACAGAGCATCCGTGACATTATTTTTCCATGGATGAAGGTCATATTGCTTCCAGATCTGGAGGTACAATGTCTACCAATATTAAATGGTCTTTTGAGTAAAATAAAATGGCAGTTACATGTGGAATTAAACCAATATTTGCTTTAGTCAAAAGTAACTAAAGGTAAGCATTCGCATACTTCATCTATTAAAAAGAATCTGGGTATAAACAAGTGACAGTAAAAAGCTTTGGATTTACTTTCAATGCACATTATATCTATTTCTAACCCAGCTGATAATACACTGCCAGTCTGTGGCATGTGAAAGGAATT